GTCTGGATCTGCATTCATTTTCCCTTCCTATTTTTCCTTTTTTCCTTTTTCTTTTTTCCTCTTCTCTTTTAAAAGCTTGCTAATTTACTGTTGGGGCAGCTAGGTGACCAAAATAGGAAGAAAGAGCAACGAATTGGCATAGACAGATTAAGAATATATCAATCTACCTTGTTTCCAGATAGTTAAGGTAGTTATGATCTAACAGTGCTTCCTGCAAAGCTGGAAGGCCAGAGCTACCTTATGTTCCAAACAAGGCTTCTGAGTGCCAATTTGCTCCCCTTTCTCTGCTTACTCCTATGTGCTAGGCTGAAATGAACCAACCTGGGGAAACATGACTTCCACTGATCCAGGCTGCCCTTTGCAAAGATGGGAAAGGAAGGGGGGTGAGATAGACTGTGATGTTGGGTGGCTGTGGGGTGGTGGTGGCTGCCGATTGGCCACCGATCAGCTGATCGGCGACCGGTAGGCAGAATTGTGGGGTTTTTGTTTTGTTTTGTTTTTGTAATAAGAAGGGGGTGTCAGCGGGGCTGGGGGTGGAGGAGGGGCGGCGGTGCTTTTTAAAAAATAACCTCCCCCCACAAATCAACAAATAACTTCGTTATTCATCACTTCATGGGGGCAACTTCGTCAACTTTTGAACCAAAATGGGGAGTCGTCCCCATCTCTAATGTGAACATGTTTATGTTTTCCTTTTTTATGATTTTATGTATTGTTGTTGTTTTGACTTTTATATGCTTCTCTTTATATGTACTCTCTCTCTCTGTGTGTTTGTATGTGTGAGCATCAGGAATTTGTTTCTTGTGAAATCCCACTTTTATATAGCCAAAAGGCCAACCAGAAAAACTCAGTTTGGTTCCCATTAAATCAGATATGTAAAGGAATCTCAAAACTGTTATCCAGAAGTCACCTTCCCCATTCCATTCATTCCTCTTTTCTTCTCTTGTCCCTAATTTTTTGTTTCTTGGAAATTTTGTTTGTCTGAAGGTTTTTTGTATGTCTCTGTACGTAGCTAAATTATAGGTTGTTATGTTCATCCCACTGGTTATTACCGTTGGGGGTAGGAGATAATACAAAGGAAGCATCGGTGGGTTTGGAATAATAGCTACATAGTTTATGCTCTTTCACCATATTAAAACAAATAAAAACCTTAAATGGGGGATGGGGAAGGATGTTGCCCTTTTAGCAATTTAATTTAAGAGCACAGACCTTGTCTCTGTTTTGTACTTATGACCTCATTTTATTTAAAATTAGTTGAAAGTTATATTTAAGGGTGTCAGGTGTTTTGTGTGTGTGTGTTTTATTTTTTAAAAAGCGTGCCTTCACGTTGGCCTTCTTGATGATAGGTATTTAGTGACTTGCCATACCCAACACAGTTGCCATTTCATGAGTGAGCAGGCCCACTCATTGCAGCCGTTTTGTGAGAACATCCATAATACTTTTGAACCTCCCAGATATGAACACTGGTCCATGAATATTGAAGTTTCTTGGTGTAAATATGTGAAAATGATTCAAGCAAATATTCTAAGCCAATGTAACAAAATAAGGCAGTATGCTCCAAAAGGCATGAGGAAAACATATTTAGAGAACATTCCTTTTTGAATAAAGCAATGACACCTTGAATGTGAAGCAAAAACCATCCAACAAGTCTTCTTGAAGGGGGCCTTTGACCTGATTATAGCAGGCACGTTACATGAACTGAAATTGGATTTGAACAGCCAATAAAGAGAGGTTAAAATGCTGTATTTGTATACAATAAGAGTATACATAGTGACCATGTTATGCTCATTGTGAGTACAACATGGTCACCAATAACCACTGTGGTATAATTGTTAGAGTGTTTGTTACAAAGGAACTAGGTTTCCATCTCCACTGAACTGCTGTCAATCTCTCATACTCTAACCTACTTCATAGGGTTGTTGTGCAGATAAAGAAGGAAGAAATAGAGCCATGGGGATTGCCTTTAGCCTGCTGTGAAAAGGCAGAGTGTACATCTATATGCTGAAAAAAAAATGTAGAACTTGGTTTTCAGCTTCTTCTTTTTCAGAACTTGGTTCCTCAGTTTAAGAAAGCTTAAACTGAGTTTAAATGCTATGTAATCATCCCCCAGATTTAATGTCACATTTTGCTTAAATGCTAGAACAGAAGAATGATGTCAGTTTATCCTGATTGATGTCTGCACAACTTAAAATAATTATTTCTGCACAATTCCCAGTGACTGGCAACGACTGTCAAGCAACACACTTTAGGCTCAGTATTGACAGCTAGAAGTAAACTTGCTCAAAAGACCTCCATTAAGAAACTTGTGAAACGTTAGCTACCAACTCTGATTTAGCCACTATCATAAGTCTATTATTTCCAGTGTGAGAGAGTGCCAAACTCTGGGGGCAGCTACAGAGCAGGCCCCCCTCTATGTCCCCACCAAACATACCTGTGAAGATGGTGGGACTGACAGAAAGGTGTCTCCTGATGGTCTTATGATCTGATCAGGCTCATAATAGGAGGTGTGGTCCTTGAGACAGCTTGAACACAAGTTGTTTATGGCTTACAACTAAGTCTTAAATAATGGGGGTTTCTCTCCTAATGCTCTCATGATCTGATCAGGCTCATAATGGGAGGTGTGGTCCTTGAGACAGCTTGAACTCAAGTTGTTTATGGCTTTATAATTTACAACTAAGTCTTAAATAATGGGGGTTTATTTCAGAAAGACGGTCACCAAAGAGTTAAAATATATATTGAATAAATGAAAACATGGTAGTTGCAAAGACATTGTCCCTAAAAGGCTTGGGGAAAGAGAGGAAGCCTTCAACTTGAATAAGCAGGCATGGAGTGGGAGCTTCATTTTTAGAGGTTGTCTGCATCAAATTTCTGTACACATTCTGCTTTTCTGTCAGTCCACCACACCCTCACTACTCATCAGAGTCTTTAGCCCTCAAATCAATGTCTGCTGGTTTGCTGATGGAAAAGAGGAGTGGGAAAGGCAGGTTCTACCTGGCCCAGTATGCATATAAGATTCAACCCATTATAGACAATTTTAAAATCAAGCTGATGATATTTTAAGATTGGTTCTTCTCTTCAATTTACTAGTATTGAAAATGCAACTGTGTGATCTGCATTTATTTAGGCAAATGGCCATAATGCCTTTCATTGATGTTAAAAGACGAAAAAGGATTAAGCACAGATTAACTTTCTCCCTTAAAATTTAATGAGACTTGAACATGGCTCACCATATCTGAAATTACCTAGTGGACACAAGTTCCTAAATTTTAAAATCAGCCATCAAATGCTAGCCATTTTTACAATGAGTTCTTGATTTAGATGTTGATTGAGTTCACACATTTCTGGTCAAAATATAATATTAATTATCAATTCATACCAGGAATGTGTGAAGCAATCTCCATCCTTCATTCCATGCTAAATCACCCCTAGTTAGTTTCTAAACAAAGTAAGACAAAGCAGGGGAGAGAAACATGTATGCCACTTTCTTTCTTTCTTTGAATCAAATACATATTGTTTAATTTGCACATGTGAATACACATGGTATTGGTTGTTCAGTTATGTACCATCATGCTATTGGTTGTGCTGACATTTTAGACTCAGGGCAACAGTTTGCTACCCAGATTCAAGCAAGTGCAAAAGCTTTACTGTTGTTTTTATGAAGATAGATATAGGTTAAGTTCAGGTATACTCATTGTGACATTAAAGGGTTAAACTGTGGTTTGTGAAACTGAATTTGTATTGCTGTGTCTATTTTTAGGGCATCAATTTTACAATATTTACTTTTTGGAAAAGAAATCATTAGACACACTCAGAAGCAAAAGTGGTTTTCCCTACAAGAGGCAAACCCTAACCCCCATTCCTTCAGTGATCACAGCTATGGCTTGAAAAAGAAAAAGACAAAAACCATTAGCGCTTTCTGGAGAATTTAAAACACTGCTGAAGGATCTCCGCCCAACCTCTACCGAGCAATGTTTGCCTCTCATTTGCAGAGAATCTTCTACAGCAGTGGTTCCCAACCTTGGATAAACGTACAGCTGCAAAGACATGTTTGACTCTCATTTGCAGAGAATCTTCCACAGCAGTGGTTCCCAACCTTGGATAACCCAGGTGTTCCTGGACTACAATTCCCTGAAACCCTAGCCAGTAGAAGTTGTGGGGAAGGCTTCTGGAAGCTGCAATCCAAGAACACCTGGTGAAACCCTAGACAGTACAAGTTGTGGGGAAGGCTTCTGGAAGCTACAGTCCAAGAACACTTGGGTTACCCAAGGTCAGGAACCACTTTCCATGCTTCACCTTGTTGAATCATCTTCAGAGGGAGAGGTGACATATTACAACTGGAGAGGGCTAATGAATAAGAGCAACTCAGTGGTCCTGCTGACAACACTGCTGGGAAGCCAGTTCTGTCACTGAGGCATCAAGCAAGAGAAAAGTGAAGACTCAGAAAGTTTGAACTAAACTAATAACACCATTTTAAGGCTCCTTGATAGCCAATCAGAAACAGCTGGATGCCTCAGGAGAGGCAAGCTAAGAGCTAGAAATTCTGTGGGCTTTAAACAAGTTGTAATTTTATGAATGGATAACTTCGTACTGATTTGGAATTTTTTTTTTTTAAAAAAAGCAATTAATTCCAATGATACTGTTTGCCCCCACACAACTCAATTTCAGGATACAACATGACAACGGAAACTCAACACAATATTAATATTTCAGGGATCTTATAATGGCATCAAAACATGGAATCAAACAGAAAAAAATTGGATCAGGATGCAGTGCCACTTATGTGGGCATTCTGAAAGTAGTACTAAAGAAAATTCTGTTTGGACATAAGCCATTAAACATACACAGATACACATGGGTCAAGAGATGTGTTGAAAGCAAGGAAATAGTGACTAAGCTTGTGCTCGTGCCACCTAAAGCAAGTGCTTTCTGCTCACATATCACAAAGCTTGCTAACAGAACACAATTCTTTGTGAGTACTGGGAATATTTTCATGGCTCTCTTACCTTCCAGATTCAAAGGTGAACCATGTGGAATCTCGTCCATATCTCCTCAGAGAACTGAGAGGCCACATGACCAGTTTAACCTTAGCATTGTGGATGTCCCACAGATAGATGTTCTCGTGCGTGATCTGCATTGTGCACTCCCCATAAATATCTAAATTTGGTGTAGGCATAAGATACACGTTGAATCGTTCTAAGGGAAGGGAGGTGAGAGGGAAGGAAACAAAATCAATAAAATACATTATTGAAATCACATCTCAGTTTAGATAATAAAATTGTGACCTTGTTTGAATTATGACTGTAAGACCTGCCCTATTTTGTGAGGGAAGTATATAAGTGAGGATGGTGGTGGTGGTGATAAAAAGATAGGGATTCTTTTATTCATAGTACAGCCGAGACCTCTTTATCATTAGTAACAGATGTTCAGTGACACAGTGAAATAATTAAGCACTGAATATTATCAATGCCCTTTATAAAATAATATCATTATCTTCCTTTTATTGCATTAACAATTAGAAAAGTATTTTGTTTGAGTTTAATGTGAGTGACTTATTTTCAAAGCAAAAATTTAAAAAATCACAGTGTATTTCATTAACAAATACCTACCTTGTCTTTTAGAACTTGGAGGGGGGAAGGGTTGTGAATGGGGGGAAGAGTACAACTGCACAACAGCTTTCATTTTTCCTTTGAATGTATGTTTGCCCTAGCACAGTTGTTCTTGCTGTGCTACCGTCCCTTCTAACATAGAGGTGATAACTGATTAGAGATTTCATACATTACATCTGACTGATTTTCACTGATTAGAGTGGGAAACAAAAGGTCAAATCCCTTTTAACTCTGATTTGTCAGCCACCATCTTCCAGTTTTTCCACTCCCGTTTTTTATGTTGTTAAATACAAAAAGGGGATGCCTACTTGTGAACAAATGTACTATCTGGTAGTATAGTTTGCTTCCTTGTTTATGTAATAACAGTTAATAATGCTGGAAGTCCCATGAACCAAGCATGTATATATGTACTTCAAGTTTACATATTACTTCATTGCAGTATGGATAAGCCTGAGCCCAAGATGGTTGGAAGTAGGATATTCTGCATTATAATCACAGTTCTTCTCCTCCATTTATAAACTGCTTGCTATACCTAAACAGTGACTAAAATCCTGTCCTTCAAGTTACATCATTTAAGGCTTACAAGATCATCAGCCATGGTGATTTTTCAGAAATAAAACATTTCTGATTCCCCCAAGGCTCCCAAGGAATCCCTTTCATCGTTGAAAACTGATGGGGGCTGTGTGATAGGAAGTGTTTAATTACTGAAAATCACTGCCACCAGGATGACGTTACGGTGTAACTCATGGAACAGGATCTCTGCCAGTATTTTTTATGTGGTTGCACCAGTGGCTCTGTGAACCACAATGATGGTTTTATGAATTCTACAATGTACTATGTTGCAATGAAAATACTTCCCACTGATGTTTTTCTAAGTAAGGAATTTGGATTTTTATGCATGTACTTTATTTACCATTTATTTGATCATTTATGTGCTATTTTCCAACAACAATTTCAAAAGTCCCCAGATTTATATAAATAATGAATAATACATTTATTTAAATAGTACATCTAGGCATCAACAAAAACATCTTAATTTTAACAGTTTCTTCTGCATTCTTCCACAGGAGGTCTAGTCTTTGAATTTAAAAGGCCACAAAAGGCAAAAGGTATCAGTGGACCTCTGAACCCTCCACAAAGAGGTAGTGTGAGGTACAGTGGGAAAGGTGGTATAAACCATCCTCTCGAAGTTATCTGAAGACATGCATTAGAGCTACTATTTTCCTTCAGATGGATTTTACAACTAATTGCCTTGTCTCCCACTTCAAACAACTGCTGACCTCCAATCACCAAGACCTCATATTTGCTTTCATCTTGCCTCAGATGTTTCACCTGGCCCAGACATATAATCCAGCTCCAATTACTGATTTGTGTAAAATTACAACTGAAGTTACTTATGATTTAGCAACTGAGGGGATCACTTCAAAAATTTAAAATTTAAGAATGATTTATGTTGCTTTTTGTTTGTTGTACAGAATTAGGTGATCAGCAGAACAAATGCAAAGTATCACTATGTTCTTAATGATATCCTTAATTTATTTTTTAAATAATATGGAAAGAGTAATAAAACTTGTTCAGTGAGCCTGGCTGCAGATTGGGAGTTTGTTTCCCCACTGTGCTTTGTAGGTGAAGAGCCAGCCTATGTGGTCTTAGGCAAGCTGCACAGTCCCAGAAATCACCAAAACGTAAGGAATAGTATGCCACTTATACGTATTCTGTACCCAGAAAACCCTGAAAAGGGTTGTCACAAGTTGGAATCAATGTGATGGCACATGATGATTATTAATTCAGCTCCACATGTACTAGAGCCCTCTATTTTAGCTTTTATTTACATTCTTCATTCAAGAGAAAATTGGACAACCATCTGTCAGATCTGCTTTGGTTTGGATTCCTGCATTGAGCAGGGAGGCTAGACTCCATGACCTTATAGGCCTCTTCCAGCTCAGCTATTCTATAATTCTATACACTGAGAAGGAAGCAGAAAAAGCCAAGTGGAAATAAGCTAGAGGTGTTATATGATATGCTATGAGGGAAACATAAATGGAGAAAACCTTGCTTAAGGAATTGTGCAGTCAAAGAACCATTTCATGTATCGTAAGATTAAAGATTCTTCATGGCTGTAGGTAAACTTGTCATTCTCAATATTTTTTCTGTCTCAGTCCATTTAATTTTGCCCCACTGATGGCTTCTTAGCTGATTCACTCAATGTCAGAGCTATTCATCCTCTTCTCTCAGACTATACTTCTCATTAATCACAATAATGGTTGTCAGTCTTGCAGCAAGTACTTTAAGGCGAAAGCCCAAGTGATAAAGGTTACGTCTCTGCTGAAGGATGTTCCGATTTTATGTCGCACAGTTCTGGGTTTCCACTGTTCTCGGTGCAACCAGTTGTCTACTGCTTCTTCCTATTTACCTGTTGCTCCTTCCATCTTTAATGAACCTCTCCTTTCCTTTCCCTTGTATTTGTGAGCATCAAGCTCTATCTGAAAACAGATGGTGAGTCTGGGGTGTGCACAGATGTCCTGCCTCTGATTAGTCCCTCGACAATGCCAGTCTGGCAGTTGCATTTTCAGCGCAAAGGTCTGAAGAGGCGCTTATGATTACGTTCAGCTAGATATGCTTATAGCACTTCAACCACAAAAGTATAGTGTGTTTAGCTGAATATGTTTATATAAACCTCTGCATGTGCAAAGGTCTAAATGACATCTGGAGCAGACATGCATCCACACAGTTCAAAGCCTTGCCTATTTCTAGCCAATAGCATGTGAACAGGGCTTCAATTTATGCTGGTATCTGTCCTTTGTGAGGAGTGATGTCCTGTCCTTAACGAATGACAAATGTTTAGTTGGGTAAGAACAAACAACTCTTCCCCCAAACCGCAGTACCACACAACAGCAAAATCTTGACCACTTTCCATTAGAACAGAAAGTTTATTATTGTGGATTGCTAAAACAATGTGTGGCCATGTCATTGGAAAATGGATGGCCACTACTTTCATTTTAGTCATGGCGGCAGTGACTCTCAGGTGGCTTTCACTTTCTATATAGCTCTGTTGTGTGAGTAATCATGGTTTCACTTTCCTGTCTGGACAGTGGAGCTAATACTGACAGAGATCTATGAAGCCTGAACACTTATGAGCTCTCCAAGGAGGCTTATGTGTCTGGCTTTAAATACTCTGCCTTCACTGCCTGTCACCTTCCATACTAGTGGCATAAACAATGGATGCCTTAATGGAAAGCAGGCCCAGCTCTAATTTCCTGAAATCCAACAATGCTTTGAACTTATAGAAACTAGAGCTTTGAAGTAATATGTTAAAAGTAACAATGTTATTCTTAACATGTTGCTCCTTTTATAACAAATAATCATGTTATTACATTTTAAGGAGAAGTTACCCTTTTAACAAAATGAACAACTTTTACTTAATAGCCACTGATGGTATCAGCAAACTGCTTGGACAACTTGCCACGATCAATTCTGGCTAATTTATGAGGTGCCAGGGTGCATCTTAGTTGTGCAATCAGGTATGTGACCAAGCACTTTGTGAATTAACTACAGTTTATGACAGCAAGTTATACTGTATAAGTCTCACATGAACATCAATAGGATTCTGGGCATTGATTTTTTTAAATTATTAGGGCGTGATGTTGTAACTTTTAGTTAACACAAAACAACACTGACACTTCCATGTTAATAGTGGGTTATTTTAATTAGTACTAAACGAGTAATAAGTAGTGCCAATAAATGACGTGTTACTTGCAGAAGAAGCAAAAAAGTAACATTATTTCTTTAGTGATGTTTCCTAGGTCTGACAGAAATATTTTTAAAAATAATACTAACCAAGCTTAGCTTTGATTAAAGAACACAAGCAATCTACTTTTTAACATTAAAAGGGGGGGAACCACATAGCTGAAACCTAAAAATTTAACAGAAATTTATAGCTTTCTTGAATTATAGTATTTGATTATTGGAACAGTGCTTTCAGGACACATGAGATACTAAAAATGTCAAGAGATATTTGTCTGCTGTGTACTGGAGGTCAGCATCTAAGAGGTATCATGGATTAAGAAGAAATATTCTTGATTAAACTGAACATCAACTGGAAGGCACAGAAACAGAACAGAAAATAAGACCAAACCCAAAAGTTATGTTGGAACATTAGAGGAATGGGGACTAGTGTCAAAAGAATGAAAAGAAAGTGAATGTTTTTACACAGAAAATACTTCTTAGAATTGCATAATTTCTACATATGTTACAAGGAATGAAAATAATATTCTGAAGAAAATCCTTCTGTATTTAGTTTCTTGGGTCTTTGAGTAAAGCCAACTAGCATGTATGGACATAGGAACAAGCCCTTGTGTTTTCACTGGTATAAAACAACAAAGCATGACACAGAAAGTTTTGAGCTATTATTTATGAAGAAAAATGGGAACTTTATTTCAAGAAACAGCTGCCAAGAAACTAAATCCCTATATGAACCAATTTAACTATAGCAGACTTCTGCTTTCAATTCACTTTTGCATAAAAGACCATGTAAGTCTTTGTGGCAGGAGTTGATTAATGAGATGATATTCTATTTCTAGGAGTGCACACAGATTGTATGCATTCACAGGAATGCAATCAACACCATTTTAATTAGTGGCAATTTGCTGCCAAAATTAATGTGGTTTCCCTTATGAAAGCCTGAATCAGCAAAAGGAACTGACCTATGACTGAAATGCCATATCCAGCTTCTTGACAAAACCAGACTAAGCAATAAGGGTGTGACAAACATCTGCAAATGTTCTTGTCAAAAATAAAAAGAATGATTTAAAAAATCCATACAGAAACGAAAACAGAAAAACCACAGTGAAGCATGATTGTTGGTTAGCCTGAAATCCTCCTAAATTTACTTCAGGCTTTGAACCCGGAGGCCTACCTCACACAGCAGAAGTTCATCATTTTGATTAAAACCTCATATGAAACAGCCCTAAGAATGTAAACTAAAAAGAAAAATATTTATTTCCTAAATGAAACACTTTTTATTAGGAAGAAAACCCAGCAACCATCATTAACCCTCACCCAAACTCTTTTAATCTTCTACCCATGTAGACCATTACATCCCCAAAAAACAAACCAACTGAAAGCATTTCATATTTTAACCACATCATTTCACACAGATCATCATAGATGAAAAACTCGATGTAAAATACAGCTAAGCTTTCAACCAGATACTGCATTGTGGATCTGCCCTGATGTGCAGACAAATTAAAAAGGGGAAGTATAGAGGAGAGGATACTTTGCAAAGATTTATCTTAGCGGGCCGAACAAATAGAAAAGGAAAAAGACTGGATGAAATTTGTTTATCTAAGTCTAAATGACCACTCTTATAAATTATCACTGTTAGATGAGTTTTGCAACAAACAAGGAAAGCAATTAACTGGGAACTTCCATACAAGTTCATATTCATGTAAATGTAGCTTGCACAGATGAAGAGATTTGCAGTGGATCTGACTAAAATTCATGAACCACATTTCTGCTGCGAAAAGACAATTTATCCCAATAATCAACTTTATTAACAAATACTTTGTCTCATATCTGCTTGCCATGTACCACCACAATGTCTGTTTTGCTTTTCCTAGTTAGGATGACAGCTTTAACTCTGCTAATTTAAATGCAAATTTCTGCACTAAGGGACATTTATCAAAATTGCAACATCTGAGGGAGTGCACCTAATGATTCATCACAGAATATTACTGAAACATCAGTTTCACTCATTTCATTTCAAGTGATGTTAAATATATTTGATTTCGTATGGATATGTCTTGTGTGGGAGACCCTGTGCCTGCTGACCTAATTGTGCTATTGTGTCACATATATTTACAAATATCTCCAGAATAAATACATTCATTTCTACCAATTCTCAGCAGTCCATGTGGTCACGCAACACAATGATGTATCAGTCCTAGATTCAGTTCAAGCAAAAGCAGATAATAATATCTGCCCTGCTTGGATCATCATTGGGTTACTGATGATGAGTATGGTAGCCTAGAGAGCTAATTATAGAATTGTGAGAGACACAGGGGTGTAGCTGACTCAGGTCCATTCTGGGAAATGCCCAAAGTTTACCAAGAACAGAATTCAGACCCAGTACTGCAACTCAGATTCAAATATTACTATGAAAATCTTACTTAAATCCATGATTCTTCTTTCAGAATTCCTAAACATTCATTTAGGAAGGATTTGTTCCTTCTTTCAACACTACAGGTACTCCTCTAATTTCTCCTTCTGTGCCATGATGTGTTAGCAGTAGACATGGGGGTATTCATATACGAATACAAATACACCCCGTACAGGTGGACATAAAGAGGGTCTGGTCCTCTAGGGCCGGACTGTCCACTCACCTTCCACTCCTTCTGTGGCCTCTGAGCTCCCTTCCTATCACTCCGGAGCTCATGGTCAACTAGCCACTCCTGGCAGGAGTTGGGATGACAAGCCTTGCTGCCAGGTTGAAGAGTGGCTCACTGACCGGGCACTCCAGAGTGACAGGGGAGCATGGAGCTTGTGCCAGCAGTGGAAAGTGAATGGACAGTCTGGCCCCAGGGAGCCAGGCCCTCATTATGTCCACCTGTGCAGGGGTATTCATGTACAAATACCCCCCCGTCTCTAGTTAGCAGTTATGATGAACATCACATAAACATTACAAATTTGTTGCTGCAGTGCAACTTTAATAAAATATTCATATGTATAAAGACCTTCACATTTTAGGACCATGTTACCTGTTGGAACATCTTTTCCGAAGGTCATCTATCTGATCCACCAGGTCCTCCCAGGCCATGATCCTCCAGATAGCCACTCCAAGAAAGTCCAAGAAATCCTCCACTCGAAGGAGGGCCCTCTTTGGTGTGGCTCCAACACATGGATTGATGGAAGTGCACCTGGTTTCCTCCCTCCCATCCTTTAAAAGATCTCTGAAAACACTGCTTTACAGAGAGGCCTTCTTTGGCAACCCTGCATGATCCATTCCTAGCTGCTCTATATGTTTACATGCTCTGTTTTTTAATTTGGCATTTTCACCACTTGATGTGTTGATTGTTATATTGTTTCATTTTTAATTATATGTATTGTTTTATTTGAATGTAAACTGCCCAGAGTAATGCATCTGCACAAATGGGAAGGTATATCAATCAATCAATCAATCAATCAATCAAACATTTATTTATTTACCACCCCATTAACATCAAAACAATATTCTGGGTGGTTTATAAGCAGTTAAAACAAGCTACAGAGAGAGAGAGAGAGAGAGAGAGAGAGAGAGAGAGATTTTCTTTCTTAAAATTGGAATTCTCTTTTTAAAAGTCAAGAGAGAGACCCTAAATACAACATAGATACAAAACCAAAGTCTAAAAAATTAACAACCAATTGCGCAAACCAATTTTCAGAGTGAAGCAGGACTGGAGGCAAGGCATTCAACCAGAGCTGACGTGAAAGTTCTCCCTGAAATGTAACATTTTTAGTTGTCTCCTAAAGGAATGCAGGGAGGCGGGCAAGAAAGCTGTTCTGGAAGTTGGTTCCATAATATCAGTGCCACTGCAGAAAAAGCTGTGCCTGTATTAGATAACTTTCGGGCCTCTCTTAGGGTTCCCACATGAAGGAACCTGGCCTGAGAAGATCTTGTGGGTCGGAAGATGACATTGAGAAAAGATGCTCCGACAGGTAACCTGGTCCCAAATCATGAAGGGCTTTATAAGTGAGTGTCAGATGTTTTCCAGCAGCTTAACATAGATATTAAACAGCACTGGGGATAGTGATGATCCCTGGGAGCACCCCACAATTGAGGGTCCAAGGAACCGACAATTCATCTCCAAGCTGAACTCTCTGGACATAGTCCTCGAAGAAAGACTGGAGGCAGCTTAATACTAGGCCCCAAACACTCAGGTCAATTTAATACCTTCTTGCTGCTGTCAGATACGAATTCTGATACAACATATAATGTTGCTAGGTTCTGTGGGGCTGCAATTAAAATTCACCGGACGATTACTGGCATCACAAACTAGTATTTATAATTAATTTTATGCCTTTTAATGCTTGATTAATGCCAGTTTATATATATGTGTATACTTATAATTAGTTGGAGCTATTTTATGACTGTACCCTTTACTTATAGATTCACTAACCTCTAAGTGTCACAATACTTATTTAATGCTTTAGAATCCTTTTCTTTTTACTCACTGCCCCCTGGATTCCTATATTCCGGTTATATTAGAATGAATGTGAGGTTACTTTTTAAATTTTAGATTTATGTCCAATTTTAAGTTATGGTTTATATATATATGTATGTATATATGTATATACTGTATGTGTGTGTATATATGCTATCCCAATCTTGGAATCTTGGAGGGCCTGTCCAGAAGGATACTATGGTTGATGGTATCACAAACCACTGAGAGACCAAGGAGAACCATCCGGGTATGGTAACCCCTGCCAGCTTCCCTTAAAAATTCATTGTGCAATATGATCAGGGTAATCTCAGTACCCCATTGCAGCCTGAATCTGGACTGGAATAGGTCAAGGCAATCTTGTTTTTCCAGGTATGTTTGAAACTGGTTAGCCACCACCCTCTCAATCACCTTACTCATAAAAAGTATATTGGCAACTGGATGAAAGTTATTGAGATCATCCATTGCCAACTGTGGGTGTTTGATAATATGCACTCAAAATTACGAATCTATAGACTGGTAAAGCAATAAATCTCAAATCAACATTGTGAGAATTTTTTTAAAAAAAATCTTAGCAAGTGATGATGCTACAATTCAGATGGGAATAGACTGGTGAGTTGTTTTTTTTTAACTTGAGAGAAAAATATGTTGAATAATCTAAATAGCTGTAAACAGAAAACCTACCATTTTGCTCTCTCTGAACTCCAGCTGCAAGTAGATCAGGTTCACCAAGGCTAATATCATTAAGCCTCGTACCTAAACATTCTATACAAAGATGTTTGCACCACTCTTCTGCCTCAAGCTCTGAAAGAAAAACAACAACCATTAAGTGAACATCAAAAATAACCACGAGGAAACTACCACACTGAATTAAATTATAAAATAAGGTGCCCACCGATAGCAGCATTTGATTTATAGTCTAGTCGCAGAATCTTCGATTTTAAAAGAAAGGAGGGAGGAAGAGAGGGGGAAAGACAGGGAGAGACTAGGCTTAATTTATGATTGTTTTTGATAAATACATCAAGTAGATTTTAAATTGATTAAAAGCAAGTGAAAATTAATTAGTCTGCTCAGTCTGCTAGAAACTTGGATCACTTGAGTCATTAAGGCACTTCGCATGTTGGCCTCTGAAGATAAATTCACACTATCTTTGTTGGCTAGCCAGATAAAATTTGCAGTAAAAAAATCATGGGATCACCCTATAATATTAATTGCCCTGCCACCAAGCATATCTAATTACAGTTGCTGTGTGAGTGAAGTAAAAAGCATGGAAAGAAAAAGGGCAGCACCAATCCTAATTTTGAAAACACTCATGAAAGAAGAGATTCTAAGGCATGCTCAAAAATCAACAATGGTTTCAGATTATTATTTTTTCCCCACATTTTTACGCAACACAGGACTCTTTATATGGAGCATCCCGGAAATTATCATACTTTTTGCCCCAAATGGAATTTAAGAATGTCATATGTTATACATTTTGGGAACTGCACATGGATTGTTTTGTGATGCTAAGAGAACAAAGGTAGCCGAAATTCATTTGGTCATTTAAACTGGAGTAAGAAAATAATTCATCTGAGATTTGCTTATATGAAGCTAAACATTTCCAAGCTGACCTGAAGTCAATATTAAAGCTAGATTTTCTACAACATGAATTTGTTCACACTTTTTGCGATGGTTTTATGCATCCATCAGTATATTGTTAATGAAATACAGACTGCACTGAATTCCAGTGACTACATTCAATACTTATCCCACCAAGGAGGACCCACTTAAATAAATAGGACTAAGTCACAATAAGTAATTATGTTTCAATAATTTTAAGGAGTTCACTCTAGGTGGGACTAATATTAAATTTAGAGTCCACATTTTATCATATTTGCAATAAAATGAAGCTATTGCTCTAGTCGGTGGTAGCTTTTTATAAGTGGTAGATTATGGCTGAAATCCTGTTGGGTGAGTAACCCAGATGGCATCATCATCTACAAATGGAAATATTTAAGTTAATTTAATTTGAAACATTCTATCCCTCCACTTTCAGTTTCCAAAACTACCTAGGGACACTTTTTGCTTTGGGAGACTAAAGATGGGGAGGGGTAAGCAAATCACCAATGGTGGTCTTAATACATTAACAGGGCCACCACTGATGATTTTCTGGTATTAAAGGCTCCTCCCCCCTCCCACCCATAGGCTCCCAAATATTTCTTAGGAATCCTTAAGGAGCCTCATAACCTTTAGGAAGAATAGGAAGTTTTTAATCCAGTCCAGTCCAGACCAATTCAATTCCATTTCAATGGAGGTGTTGAGGACTGGACCATTAATCTAGACCATATACAAAGCTCTACTCCTTCCTTGCACAAAACCATCTTGTTGAGTAGCCTTCTTCCAATCTACAGATCATACATCTTGCTGTGCCATCCTGGCCAAAGTACAAAAACCTGTTCTCAATAAAATGTACACTAACGGTGGAACTCATTATTTTCACAGCTCGCATATTGCATTTTCTGTGATACTGAATATCACAATATGCATAACTAAGGCAGCAATGCTATATACACCTTGAAAAAAAGTCTCACTGAACTCAGAGAAACTTGTTTTTTAGTAGCTATGCACAGGACATAACCTGGAAGTAAACTGCCAGCAAGGGGGCTCTATCTACCCCATGCTTCCCCGCTCTACCCAGAGAAATATCTGTAGGTAGACAGCTATGAACACAGACTTATTTAGCCTTGGATCTGCTGGATTTAAAACTCTGTAGATCCCTTTGTGGCCTAATCTATTTAATATCTTATTCAGGAACAGGTATTATGAAAAAGAAAAACAGTGCCGCCTTAGTTTTTGTGTGTAAGTTGGCTAATTGGCACTTAAACATGATCTCCTTTTTCTATGCCATCAAGTTGGAACTGACTTATAGTGACCCTAAGAAGGCTTTCAAGGTAATTGATATATTTAAGGGGTGGTTTTACTAGTTCCACTCTCCCAGTGAGTTTCCATGGCTGAGTGGGGATTCAAACCCTCTTCTTCAGAGTCCTAGTCTATCACTCTGTCCAGTACACCACACTGGGAATCTCATGATCTCCTTAGTAATCTAAATATATTTCACTCAAAAATAAACAGCATTGTATTTTGACATCTGCTGAAGAATTCACAGATGATTTGAACTACTGGCAAAACTGAGGTATAGTCTTTCAATCTGTAGAACATACAGTACTTTTTCCAGTTTGTAAAACATACATTTCTACAGCAGAAAAGATGCATTTCTTGTTGTCACTATGGTTTTCAAAATGCTACTGTTTTATTCAAGGATTATGCTGACACAGATTTCTGTATCAAAAGCATTGAAGTAAGCAAAAATAAATCAGTCCAACTCATGATCATATAACACTTATTGCAGAGGACTGTAATGTTGGATCACATGTTATACGGAGATGTGCTGGTGATAGCTCAGCCTTTTTTTAATTAAACAATCAAATTCCAGAAGAGAATGTGAAGAATAAGATGTACCTTGATCCAGGTTCTTCACAAACCCACACTTTTGTAATTGGATACTTTTGTCATCACCTATTTCCCCTTTGCTCCTCTAGAAAAGAGTTCCTATTTTTGGGAGGGTATATGATGCCACAGCTGGTGATCAGAACTCTTTATCCTTAGGGAGTGCTGGGATCTGATGGACTTCTGAATGCACTCAGAATCTCATTTTAGAAGGACTTGTACCCATGTTGAACTTGTACTCCTTCTGTGGAAAGCTGACCTAACATGAATGCCTAACAGAATATTCCTAAACATCCTTCACCCATTGGACACAGCCTAACAGTCTCTTTTGTTAGCTTCAGGACTCAGTGTGATGAGGCAGGCTGGAAGATTACTAGAATACAGATTGGGGGAAGATTTCCAATTACAGTGGTGCCTCGCTTTATGATTGCCTCGCATTACGATGAATCCGCTTTACGACAATCTTTTTGTGATCATAATTGCAATCGCAAAATGATGATCTAAATGGGGGAATTTCACTTTACGATGATCGCTTCCCTGCTTTGGGAACCGATTCTTCGCAAAACGATGATTTTTAAACAGCTGATCGGCGGTTTCAAACTGGCTGCTGGGTAACTAAAATGGCTCCCTGCTGTGTTTAGGGACGGATTCCTCTCTATCCAGGCAGCGAAAATGGCCGCCATATGGAGGATCTTCGCTGGACGGTGAGGTTTAAGCCCATTGGAACACATTGAAAGGTTTTCAATGTGTTGCAATGGGCTTTTTATTTTCGCTTTACGATGTTTTCGCTTAACGGTGATTTTCCTGGAACGGATTGTCGCCGTTAAGCGAGGCACCACTGTAATACAATCCTACAGTGGTAAAAAATCCATAACTGTTGCTGCATTGAGGTAAGGTGTGTAGCAGAAGATCCTCCCCCCCCCCCCATTTTTCTGCTATAATTTCTTCCTTGAAACATTGTCCAGCAGAGATTTCTTCAGTATGCTGAGGCCTCCTCAAATGAGAGCTACCAAAAGGGATTAAAAAACCCTTGGAAATCTGTTCTGACATATAAAAATGTTGAAAGGATGTAATCACTGATATCCTCCTCCAACAAAATTCCAAAAATATAACAGCTCAATCTGAGGATGTATCCAGAGCATTTTTTAAATTAGTGTTCTGGGTTGAAAAGCATTTGTTGCAGCCTCAGGATGTAGAATGAATACATAAACAATTCTGATTCTAGGTAAGACTATTTAAAAGAGGAAATATCTTATCTGAGGAAAAAGAATCTCACCAGAGTTTCACACTTTACACATGAAAGTGTTCAGGTGAATAGCCAGAATGATCAGCTGTTGGTGAATGGAAATAAACCTGTTCCCACTAAGATCAAATGGTGATTCATTTTGACATCTTAGTCAAAGATAAACGGAAACATCTAACAGTTTCAAAAAAGGAAATGGGTTCAATTATTTCTGTTGCTTTAGAGAAAACTCTATTTACTCACACAAGTTGTCACATATTTTAGCTGTGGTTTTTCTACAGATACCAATTAGTATACATGCTATGTGCAAGAGGATTAGACAAGGGTCAATGAGATTTTTTAACTTAAAACAGCTAGTGAATCAAAACAGCTATTAAAGAAGGGTTTTTTTCCATTACTTTGTGCCATAACCAGCTACATCAGAATTCACACTTGTGAATTCTGCATCTTCATTTCCTTGAGGCAAATCACCTTGCATTTCAAGATGTGACTAAAGGGAGCAATTGCATCTTCACTATACGATTTTTATACAAAAGCAAATCCAGTACAACTTCAAAGTGAAAGCAATTTAGTGGTCCTATTATTTCCAATAAAGGCAAAATTTTGTCTTAATAGTAGTTCATAAAATAACCCAGCATGATTATGATCACACTAATCTTGTATCCTGATTAGAACTGTAGATATCTGTTGTCTTATTTAACATGTTTCACTCTATTTTTAGAACAAAAGTCAATTTGATACATGTTATTCCTTTCGAATTGCCATTCAGGAAAGCACTAGAAACCTCTAGTTGACTGGAGGAATATGCAGAACATATTGTTCCCTTTGCCTTTCATATTTCCACTGTTACATCTGGTTGAATGACTGATGGATGAATTTGGAATATGAATTTAATCTCTCCCCTAGTGCAAGTGGTTGGCATGAACCTGGTGAAGGTTTTGTTTCACATCTTACACTTCCTACATGACTCACAGATTTTTGAACATCACAAAAACTTATTTTAGAAAAGGAAAGTTAGATTTTTCAGAAGTAAAAAAAACCAGTAAAATGTAAAATCACAGGTATATAATGT